GTAGTGATCTGCGCTTTATCCTCAGGCTGGTAATTGTACCGCCTTATTTTTGTAACCCTACGGTATCTGCAGAGGAGAATCCGTTGAGGTTTGTTGAATATGTATCTTATTGTATTTGCAGTAGTACCGTGATTCCAGAAGTCGGAGTTCTGGGTCGTTTTCCTGGATTGGCACGCGTGACTCAAACTCAGAAAGCAGATAGCCGTAACAGTAGGTGCTCGGAATGACGTTCCTCCGGCGGTTGTTCACGCTCCTTCTAGAACCCACTTTAAAGCAGTTAGACATTTATTTATGGGAATCCTCGCGCTGGCAAGCATACTGCCCTGCGCTGAGAACATGAAGAGCAGTGCTACACCGCTTTTTCACTTGTGCCTTTCAGGTGAACGACAGCCACTGACATACAAGAACAAACCCGACCCGGGAAACTTGGGCAATAGCCTCGATCCTGTGTATCAATCCGTGAATCGTGAATCCGTAAAACTGAAAACCATTGCTGGCCATAAGTGGCTTTGGGTGATTGGATAATTGGCCGGAGTCACAACGAGCAAAAGTGGAGATGGAGATGGGATAATCCAAATTGGGAGCACGTGACAAGTTTTGTCTTAAAAATGTGGTTTAATCTGAAAGTAACCAGACTCACCGGTTGAAGTGTTGTAGGGAAGTCAGGTGCAGGGGATGGGTTGGATGGGGGCGACCTGAACTCCGTGTACGGATTCGAACTTGTGCGACAGGCAAGCCGAAATGGCTGCAGAAAAGCTAGGCTAGCCAACTCTGAGCGAAAATTTTTTGGGCACGGAAGAGCTTATCCCAGAGACGCGGCCGGATGAGAACTGCTCGAATTTGTGGCTACAGGGTTGAGTTGACGAGGGGTTGTGGTCGAGATTCTGGAGAAAATCTTTGCGGGAGTGCCATCTCATTGGGCACGACAGTGCCATGCCATCATCGCACTGAAATGCTTCGGTTTATGACAATCCCGTAACGGTCGTCAAGGGTCGGAGAAGGGTTACGCAGTTCTGTGGTGAGACGCCGGTTCTGGGTGAGATGGAGGTTGACACAGGGAGTCATGCATATGTAGGCTCACGGATAATTTCCCTTTTGTTAGAGGACCGTGTGAGTGTAGACCGGACACCAGCCAGTTTGAATGAAAAACATTTCTAAGGTAAGGGGCGTTTCGGCAACTGCGGTCGAGGATTGAAGTTTCAGAAGAGGGGCGAAGAGAAAGAAATTGAATTTAAGCAGTAGCGCGTGGTGGGTGTTAAGAGGCACGAGATACAAAGCGCCGATATAAAAAATCTAAAAAGGGATGACAGCAAGCTAAATGGACCCAAGAAAGGTGAATACGTTTGCTGATCTAGAAGCCAAGTACTAGCCGGGCCAGAGTAAGTGCCTAGTTTTAGGAAGGTGAAAACTTTGTCGTCGAGGTAGCTAGCAGGGGGCTAGCTGTTGGACTACTTAAAAACGGACGGTATTTTTTTGCTCACCAAAGCGTCATGACATCGGGTCCTTGTTGTACAGAAAGAGGGGTTAATGTCAGCACTGACAGTGGACAAGTGAAAAGCGGACAGGGAGCAGCTTCCCAGATAAGTGGTAAGAATCGCAGCTTAACCGAGGTCCACTACGTCAACCTAACAGGAAAGTAAGATTGAGGATCACCAGTCGCCGAGTCAATGCTGTCAACTCCAGAAAACGAATGGTGCATGGCAAAAAAACAGCTAGCTATGACTGCTTGTAAGGAGGAAGTAATAAGTTATTAGCATTTTTTGCATATGATCACTCTAGATGACAATTGGGAAGAACATGTATGCTATGTTTGAGTGATGAAGTGGAATAGGGGCGGTTTGACCCCACTAAGACGAAAGTGTCAACACCTTGCACGTCGACGTTAGCCGTGAGCCTGCCAGGTGCTCTCAGGCTACGCCATGCGTGAATGTTTTTTTGACATTCTTTTTTATTTTTTGGAACAAACGGGAGGACAGCTTTCGTCCGCTTGTATTTCTTGGTGTTGTGGGACAAGTGACAACCGGAACAAGGCCAATCCAGCTACAGACAAACAGCAACGCTGCTCTTTTTTGGTTTTCCTGAACTGAAGGCCAGGCTCAGAGCCACCGGCGATGGGCGATATACCCGTGCTACTAGAGGGGTGGCGAGTATACGAACGCACCATGGTGCGACGTAACAGGGCGGCCCTCCCTGCAGGGCGTACCCGTCCACCACACGAGGTTTTCATCCCTCGTGTATGCTACCAGATCTGCAAGGTGGAAAACCATCCAAGCAGTCATAAGTGCGGTTTGTGGATTAATAAATAACTCCAGCTACCAGATATTTCATCCGGTCGGGGGGGGGAAGTCAGACCAGTAAAACAGCTCAGTCATTTCGAACAAGCAAACAGCAAACAGCCACTGGAAGAGGCGGGTCGCGGAAGCAAATGAAACATAAACTACCTTTTGGGGAATGGGAGTGGAATGGAGATATTCAGAGCCTGTGTACTATGGCCAAACGAAAACGAAGCATTGGTGTGAACCACTCTGTCAAGTAGAGGTGCACCAGTGTCATGTGTATGTGTGAATGATTGGGCTGTGGGGCCAAACAAGTATTGCATTCATAGCGCATCTTCAGACCTACCATTTGTTATGTGTGCACTGTGCGTATTCGGGGGATGCAGAATGGTTCGGAACAGCGTGGAACTGAGGCTTTAATTTGGCTGAGGTTATTTAAATCCATCCAAATCAAAGCACTAGACAATAAATGGAGTTGACAGAGTTACTCAGGGATGGAACCAGGCTTGAAGAGCTAGGAATAATTGGGCTGGGTAAAAAAGCTTAAGGCAGGAGGAGGGATATCAACCAGGTCAGTGGAGACGGGTATGAGAGAGATAGAGTGGCAGGTTATAGATAAGAACACTTGGGAGGGTGGTTGTCGCGATTGCGGACTAATGCTGAGGGTTTCAGGCTGGTAAGTGTAAGTACTAGGACCTAATAACAGGACAGTCAGGGTGAGTGAGCTGATTAGAAAGGCTTAGGGCCTATTTCAAAAAAGTATCTAGTGTAAGCTGAGGCGCGAAAAGGCGCTCAGCTCCCTCGATAGAAAGGTA